CTGCAGCAGCCAATTGCACACAGCAGCGTCCCACAAACAGTTTAAATACAAAATATTTTACGTATTTTATAAAGTATAAAAGTTTTAAACATAAAACTATATTCACAGTAAAATTCTCTGAAACTCTTTAAGACATCCAGGAGGCACTATATTAAATGTAAGGATTATTATAAGCAATAGCTTCCCGTGCTAGCCCTTCTCTACCTTTCTCTCTCCTCTCTCGCTGCCATGTATGTGTGTTGTCTCCCAATGCATTCAGGTTTCTCACACCTCTGTTTGCATGTGGCACTCTTCCTTTGTCGGTTTGTGCATGTTTTTGTTGTTTGTATTGTTGTTACATATCTTGCCCTCTATCTGATTTCCTACTTTCCTTCTCTTTTTCCTTCTCTCTCTCTTCCTATGTTTTTCTCTCTTTTTCTCTTTCATTTTCTATCTACTTCTCTTACTTTCTAACTCTCACTCTCTCTGACTATCTCTGTCTCACTCCCCTTATAACAAACACCTTGCATGGCAATTTATTGTGGGTAATCAATATCCCTGGAGTCGGCATCTGTTCAACAACAACAACAAAATTACATTTATAGAGCGCCTTTCACATCGGGAGCATATCCCAAAGCGCTGGACAGTCAGGGGTCAGGATCCGAGCATGGGGAAGGGGTGATGTAGGAGTGAGGGAAGGCAGAGAGGTGGGAGGGAGACCACGGTCGAAGAGAAGGGTCTTGAGACCGGCCTTGAAGGAGGCGAGGGAGGAAGCGAGGGGAAGGGACCGTGGGATGGAGTTACAGAGTGTGGGGGCAGAGAGGCTGAAAGCCCGGCCACCGATGGTAGAGCGGGTTGGGAGGGAGACATGGAGCAGCCGGAGCCCGCTGAACGGAGGGAGAGTGAAGCTGGGAGGCGACGGCTCTCTCAAGGACATTAGACAGAATAGGGAGGTGGAAGATGGGCCGGTAGCTGGATAGCTGTGATGGGTCAAGGTAAGTTTTCTCAAGGTGGGGGTGACAGTAGCTGTTTTGAGGGAGGTAGGAATAAGGCCAGATGACACGGAGAGGTTGATGATGTCAGTGAGTAGAGCAAGAGGTGGAGTTGGGGTTTAAGGAGAAGGGTGGGGATGGAGTCCAGGGAGCAGGTGGTGGGCTTCATGGAGGATATGGTGGTTGATAAAGGAGAGGGATATCGGAGTTAGGGAGATGAAATGGTGGTCAGAGATGGCCTTGTCAGTGATGGTGACATCCGAGACGCTGAGGCCCCGGGTGGTCACCAGATTAAAGCGGGTGACCGTGGTTGTGGGTAGCAGAGTGGATGTGAAGGGAGAGGTTGAGAGAGGAGAGAAGTCTGAGGAGGTAGAGCAAGAGGGGGTGAAGTGGAGCTTGAAGGCGCCTAGGATGATGAGATGTCAGAGCAGAGGCAGAGGGAAGCTAGAAGGGTGGAGACGTCAGAGATGAAGGTGGGGGAGGATTTTGGGGGGCAGAACATTAGGAGAATTTTTAGTGAGAGATGGGAGGGATGGCAAAGGGTAAGGTGTTCAAAAGATGGGAATGAGCCGGTGGAGTAGGGGGATAGGTCAAGTGACGCCACTGCCACGATTGTTGGGGCGTGAGGCATGGTGGTAGGTATAGCCAGGTGGTATGGCCTCATTGAGAGTGAACGTGTCACCTGGGTGATCCAGGTTTCCGTGATAATATCAACGTTCTCTTTGAGGATGGGATCATTGACGGCCAGGATCTTAATGCAGATGGAGCGGACGTTTCGAAGGCCAATGCGGAGTGGACAGTTCAACTTCAATTTGAGGCTGAGAGAGGTTGTGACAAATTGTGAAGCTCGGCTTTTCTCAAGCCTCCGAAGGGGCATTGGGTGGGATTGAGCCACCATCTACTGGCCGCATAACGTATAGCATCATCTGAGCATGACTGACTTCCCATCACTCAGAGGATACAGCTCAAGTTCCTTGTCCTCACTTTCAAAGCCCTCCAAGGCCTCGCTCCTCCCTACCTCTGTAACCTCCTAACCCCCTACCAGCCTGTCCATTCGCGTGGACGTTAAAGATCATGTAGGGCTACTCGAGAAGAGACATCAAACTACAGAGTTTTCGCTGTTTGGACTCCAACTCTGGCGTCTCCAAGACTTGGCTCTTGCCAACCTGCACCTAATACTTATTTCTGCGGGTCGGCTCGGGAAGCCCTGGGGATACGCTCGGGAGCAACAACAACAACAACAAAATTCCATTTATAAAGCGCCTTTCACGTCAGGAGGACGTCCCAAGGCGCTGCACAGTTGGGTCATGACCCGAGCATGGGGGGAAATGGTCAGGGTGAGGGGAGGGGAGGGGAGGGAGCGAGGAGGGGGAAATGGTCAGGGTGAGGGGAGGGAAGGGTGGGAGCGAGGAGGGGGGAAATGGTCAGGGTGAGGGGAGGGAAGGGAGGGAGCGAGGAGGGGGAAGAGAGTCGAGAGGGGAGCTGAAGGCTCGGTCAAAGAGAAAGGTTTTGAGACCGGCCTTGAAGGAGGAGAGGGAGGAAGCGGCGAAGGCACTGGGGGATGGAGTTCCAGAGCCTCGGGGCTGAGAGGCTGAAGGCCCGACCACCGATGGTAGGGCGGTTGGGGCGGGGGACGTGGAGCAGACCGGAGCCAGAGGAACGGAGGGTACGGGCAGGTAGGTAGGGGGATAGTAGGTTGGAGAGGTAGGAGGGAGCGAGGCCGTGAATGGCCTTGTAGGTGAGGATGAGGATCTTGAAATCAATCCTCTGGGGGATGGGGAGCCAGTGGAGGCGAGCGAGGGCGAGGGTGAGGGTGAGAGTGAGGGCGAGGGCGAGGGTGGGAGTGATGTGGTCGCGGTGTCTGGTGCGGGACAGTACACGAGCTGCAGAGTTCTGAATGACCTGCAGTGTGGAGGGAGGTGGCGGGAAGGCCGGCGAGGAGAGAGTTCCCATAGTCCAGCCTTGAGGTGACAAAGGCGTGAACCAGGGTTTCAGCAGCGTGAGGGGTGAGGTAGTGCCGTAGTCTGGCGATGTTCCGGAGGTGATGGAAGGCGGTGCCAGTTGTGGTGCGGATGTGAGGGAGAAAGGACAGCTCAGGGTCGAACAAAACGCCGAGGTTCCTGACTGGCTTTGAGAGGTGGAGAGTGCAGCCTTGGATGCTGATGGTGTCAGCGCCTGAGGTGCGGAGGCGCTGACGTGAGCCAATCAGGAGGGCCTCGGTTTTTCGCACGTTGAGCTGAAGAAAGTTGTCTCTCGTCCAGGACTCGATGTCGGACAGGCAGCTGTCAGGACATCGGTGGTCGTGGAGTTGAGAGTAGAGGAGGAAAGGTAGAGTTGGGTGTCATCCGCATACATGTGGAAGTTAACCCATGTCTGCGGATGATGTCACCACAGGGGGAGCATATAGAGGGTGAAGAGGAGGGGACCGAGGACAGAGCCCTGAGGGACACCACATGAGACAGTGCGGGGGGTGGAGGAGAAGCCATTTGTCGAGACAAAGTGAAGACGGTGAGAAAGGTACGACCTAAACCATTCAAGGACAGTGCCTTGAAGGTTGAGGTGGGAGGACAAGCGGTGGAGGAGGATAGCGTGGTCGACCGTATCGAATGCTGCCGATAGGTCGAGGAGGACGAGGAGACAGAGGGAGCCCTGGTCACAGATGGTCAGGATATCATTGGTGACCTTGACCAGGGCAGTTTCTGTGCTATGGGCAGCACGGAAACCTGACTGAAGGGGTTCGAAAAGTGAATGGGTGGAAAGGAAAGAGCGCAGTTGGGAGGCGACAACTCTTTCCAAGACCTTGGAGAGAAAGGGGAGGTTGGAGATGGGCCGGTAGCTTGATAGCTGCGACGCATCAAGGGAGGGTTTTTTCAGGGTGGGCGTGATGATGGCAGTTTTTAATGGAATGGGGACAGAGCCAGAGGAGAGGGACAGGTTTATGATGTCAGTGATATGTGGGGCAAGAAAGTGGAGCTGGGAGATAAGGAGTGGAGTGGGGATGGGGTCAAGGGAGCAGGTGGTTGGTTTTAGGGATAGGATGAGTTCAGTGACAGAGGGTGGGGAAACGGGTACGAAGGTGTGTAGGGGAGGATGGGTAGGAGTCGGAGTGTGGGAGGGAAGGGGTGGGTGGTGGGTGGAAGTTGGAGGGGAAGTGACCGCGGAGCGGATTCCCTTGATCTTGGATTCAAGGAAATCCAGCATCTCCTCGCAGTGAAGGTTGGAGGAGATGACCTGCGCGGGGTGGCGGGGGGGACGGAGGAGTCGGGATGTGGTGGAAAACAGAAGCCTGGGGTTGTTCTTCGCCTCCAGGATTATCCTGGAGTAGAAGGACGACTTGGCCGAGGCTAGAGTGGAGCGGTAAATTTTGAGGAGCAACAACAACAACAACAACAACAAAATTCCGCGCGCGTGAAGCGCCTTTCACGCCGCGCGGACGTCCCGAGGCTCTGGACGCGACAGGGGTTACGGACCCGGGTCGGGGGTCGGGGGTCGGGGGAGGGAGATCCAAAGCCCGGTCGAAGAGGAGGGTCTTGCGACGGGACTGGAAGGCGGGGAGGGGAGGGGGGCGCGAGGCGGAGGGACTGCGGGGTGGAGTTCCGGAGGGTGGCGGCGGAGCGGCGGAGGGAACCCTCAGGTGCCTTTGGGAGGTCCCCAAGTCCATTCGGCTCCTTTACCAACATGGCGGCGGCGCTGCTTCAGACAATTGTCGGCGCCCGTTAAAGGGCGACAGCGAGAGAGAAAGGCCCCCCCCCCCACCCGCCCCTCGACTGGTCGGTAGGTAGGTGTCCCTCACGGTTCCCGGACCAACTGGAGAGCGTCCCGAGTTCTCTTTCCTGTCCCCGCTCTCTATAGTTTCCTGCACTTCGCTCGGAGAAAAGGGGGAGGGGATAAAAATAATAATAATAATAATAATAAAACCAGCCGAAATAAATAGGGCACAAATAAGGGTTATGGTAACGGGAGGAATGGCGAGTGGGGTCAGGCGCGGTGAGGGCGCGGGCGGACGGGGGCTTTGCTGAGGGGCGGTCGCGGCTGTCAGAGGAGCGGCGGCGGCGGCGGCGGGAGAGAGAGAGAGAGAGAGAGTCAGGTCAGCGCAGCACCGCCTCCACTGCACCACACAGGGCCGGAGACACCGCACCGCACCGCGGCACAGCGCGGCACAGCGCCTCAGGTCAGCACAGCACAGCACTGCCCCGGGGACACGGGCGGGTCAGCCCAGCACAGGGAGGCCGGGGGTGGGGGGAATAACTAGGCCTCACTCCCCCTCTCTCTCTCTCTCTCACACTCCCTTCTTCATTTCAGGCCCAACTCTCTCTCTCTTTTCTCTCTCTCTTTTCTCTCTCTCTTCTCTCTCTTTTCTCTTTTCTCTCTCTCTTTTCTCTCTCTCTTCTCTCTCTTTTCTCTTTTCTCTCTCTCTTTTCTCTCTCTTCTCTCTCTCTTTTCTGTCTCTCTTCTCTCTCTTTTCTCTCTCTCTTCTCTCTCTCTCTTCTCTCTCTCTTTTCTCTCTCTCTCTTTTCTCTCTCTCTTTTCTCTCTCTCTCTCTCTCTTCTCTCTCTTCTCTCTCTCTTCTCTCTCTCTTTTCTCTCTCTCTCTCTTTCTCTCTCTCCTCTCTCTCTCTTTTCTCTCTCTCTTCTCTCTCTCTCTTTTCTCTCTCTCTTCTCTCTCTCTCTTTTCTCTCTCTCTTTCTCTCTCTTTCTCTCTCTCTTCTCTCTCTCTCTTTTCTCTCTCTCTCTCTCTCTCAGGCCCAACTCTCTCTCACTTTTCTATTCTCTCTCTCTCTCTCACTCACTCACTCATTCATTTCTGGCCCTTCTTTTTCTCTCTTTTCTTTCACTCACTCATTTCAGGCCTCACTTTTTTTTCTCTCTCTCTCACTCACTCGTTTCCCTTTCTCTCTCTCTCTCTCTCTTTCTCTCTCACTCCAGGTGAGAGAGAGACCTTTCCCCTCTCACTTTTTTTCTCTTCGCTTTTTTTCCCCCTTTTTCTCTCTCACTCACTCATCCCTCATTCAAGGCCCCGTTCTCTTCTCTCTCTCTCTCTCTCTCTCTCTCTCTCACTAACTCACTCATCCCTCATTCCAAGCCCTCTCTTTTTCTAACTCTTTATCTGACTCTTTCTCTTTCCCCCTCATTCCCCCCCTCCTGTCTTTCTCACACACACAATCTCCCTCTCCGCCCCTCCCAATCCAGACCCCATTCACTGAATTTGTCCGGTCGAAAATTGTTAGTTTATTTGATTGAAGCCCCCGCGGGAACGTGTGTTTATAATCTGGTTTACATTGCAGTACAGCGGGAGTTCCGCGTTGTCAGAGATGAAATCAAAATCTATGCAGTTGGATGTTAAATATCTATTAAATTGTATAGGTACGTCCTGATTTTTTAAAAAAAAACTTTGGGGGTTACTAAGAAGGGCACAATCTGCATCTTTTAACAAGTTTGAGCCGTGTTTTATAAGTCTGATCTGTAAATTGTACAATCGCCGAAGCGGTACATCAGCCCATGTCTTGTTCAATTTCCTATTAAATCCAATAAAATTAATATGTACTCTTAATACCACAACCGCACCTGCCGGCTGTCGGGTAATCACTTTGTTTCCCGCGCCTACCTCAACGGAACACCACACGTGCGTGCCCCAACCCTCTTCGTGCCCTTTCTCCCGGGGGTGTAACATCACGGTCATCGTGCACGGTGGTGGGGGGGGGGGGGGTTGGGAGTGTGTGGAAAGAGTGTTACCAGATCGCGTGGTGAATGAAAGCGAGCAGAACCACTTGCGCACTTTAAGCGCTCCGGGATGCTGCCGCGTGAAGAACGCTATTTAAATGCAAGTTGTTGTTGCTGTTACTGGCCTTGAAAGAGCATCCGTAGTGCTCTCTGTGAGACAATTGCGGGAATCTAAGCCCCGATCTGTCATACACACTTACCAGGGCCACATGCGCAGTACAGAACAGGGAACAAGTTCAGAAGTGGAGGCTTTGACCGGTCATCATGGCATCGGGCAATGCAGATACCCCAACGAAACGCAAATTAGTGACAAGGACTTATCAGGAGAAGTACCAGATTCTCCAATTTTGCGAGGCAAATCCTGAAATGACAAAGAAGGATGTTGCCTCCAAATTTGGTTTGAAGCCACAGACTTTGAATGATTACCTCAAGAACAAAAAGAAAATTTATCATTCTGTCGAAAATCCCGATGCAAGAAAGAGAATCGTCAAACGTACAAAACACATAACGTTTGAAGATGTCGACGCAGCACTTATTCTTTGGTTTCGTCAGAAATCGTCACTGCCTGAGATGAAGATAGATGGAGAAATGCTTCGTCAGAAGGCTGATTATTTTGCCCGTGAATTGGGTCATGAGGGAAGAGTATCAATGGGATGGATTGACCGGTTTAAAAAGCGTTGGGGCATTGTGATGATTAGAAAAGCAGGAGAATCTGCTGAGGTTAACCTGCAGGTCCTTCAAGAGTGGAAAGATGAGAAGGTGAAATACATTTTGGAACGCTACAAGGCAAAGGACATCTACAACGCTGATGAAACTGCTTTATGCTGGCAAATACTGCCGGAAACATCCCTTGGCTTTGCGGGGGATTCCCACCATGGGGCACCTCACGTTACTCTGCTGGTTGGCACCAATATGGATGGTTCCGATAAGTTACCAGTGTACATCATTGGAAAGAGCATGTGCCCTCGTGCATTCAGGCAAATTCCCAGGCTCCCATTGGAATACTCTACCAATAGCAAGGCTTGGATGACGAGTGTTCTGTTCGAGGGTTGGCTCAAAAAACTGGATGGACGCATCGGTCAAGAGAAACGAAAGATAGCCATGATCCTCGACAACTGTTCTGCTCACTCTTCAGTTGAACTAGACAACATCGAACTCGTATTTTTGCCTCCAAATGCATCCAGTGTGACACAGCCCATGGATGGTGGGATTATCCGCAACCTTAAATTCCATTACCGGCGAATTCTGGCTACGAGACGACTGAATGCAGCTGAACACGTGACGCCTTTCAAGTGGGAGCTACTGGATGCCATGTTTGCTATCAAAACTGCTTGGAGTAGAGTGTCTCAGGCAACAATCTCAAATTGCTTCAAGAAAGCGGGATTTGAAGTCACCCCCAACCAGTACACTGAAGACGATTCCGAGCAAGAAACTCAGCGGCAATTTCAAAATGTCTGGGATCACCTGACAGAAATACACGGCAAATTGATGCCATCACTGGATGACTATGTTGATGTGGATGTGGTAGACACCGAAACTACTCAAGAACTAACGGACCAGGACATTGTGTCTATAGTTTCTGACAAAGCAGATGTTGACTGTCCGAGGGAGGAGGGCTCCGAGACCCAGGACTCCACACCCTCCGTACCAACCATTAGGGAAGCCTATCACGCACTGGATGTCCTTCGGCGCTTCTCATTGACTGTGGACGCCCAAACAGACGAGATTTTGGAATTGGTTAACAAAGCTGAAGCTGTTGTCATGAGGGAGGTTCCAAAACGAACGCAGCAGAAAACAAACCCCAAATATTTTCAGGCCGAGTGAATTGAGGGTTTATGTCTCGATTAACGTTTTTTTGAAAAGTGATTGAAAATTCAGTTACAGTGTCGATAGCTCTTTCTAAGAGTTTATATTCTGTTAAAACAGTTCTGTTTTGAACCTGGTCGGGTTGTGCCATTCATTGTACAGGACATATTTTCTGCACAGTGACTACCATAGCTTTAATATGTATGGGTTAAACATGGAACAGAAACCTTGCCTTAATATCACAGCCGGTTCAGTACTTGTAATTGTTCTGTGTTGGTCATATGAAATTTGACTTTTACTTAACTTTGCATAAGTCACATGATACAACTTACGCAACTTTGTCATAACTCATACTTTGCATAAGTCATATTAAATGGACTGGTCCCAACTGGTAGAACGTATGTAAATTTTATTTAATCTTCGACACGCATTTGATGTGGATATTGTACAGACAGGAGTATGGTATTTGGGGATGGAAAATACCACACAAATTAATGAATCATGTATAAATATAATTGGTTCATTTTAGTTACTGTATTTCTATTATTTGTTTCTTGTTACATTCAATATCAGGGTTAGTTACATTGAGTGGGTGTCAGGGTGGCTGAGTTGGTAGCACTCTTACCTCTCAAATCAGAAAGCTGTGGGTTAAACATCATAGAATCATACAGCACAGAATGAGGCCATTCGGCCCATCGTGTCTGTGCCGGCTCTTTGAAAAGAGCTTCCAATTCAACCCCACTCTCTCCCCATAGCTCTGCAAACTTGTCCTTCCCAAATAATTACCTACTTCTCTCTTAAAAGTTGTTATGGAATCGGTTCCCATCAGCCTTTCAGGCAATGCATTCCAGATCCCAATACTCGCTGTGCGAAAAAAATTCTCCTCCCCTCCCCTCTGTTTCTTTTAACAACTATTTTAAATCAGTGCCCTCGGGTTACCGACCCACCGCCAGTGGGAATAGTGTCTCCTTGTTTACCCTATTGAATCCCCTCATAATTTTGAAAACTTCTCTTAAGTCTCCTCTTAACCTTCTCTGCCCCAAGGAGGACAATCCTCGCTTCTCTGCCTCTCCTGATAACTGAAGGCCCTCATTCCTGGTATCATTCTGGTCAATCTCCTTTGCACCCTCTCCAATGCCTTGACATCCTTCCTAAAGTGTGGGGCCCAGAACTGAACACAGTCTCTCGCTGAGGCCTCACCAGTGTTTTATATAAAGGTTCATCATAATTTCCTGAGTTGTGTATTCTATGCCCCTATTTATAAAGCCAAGTATCCCGGATGATTTTTTGACAGCTTTATCTGCCTGTCCTTACTTATATGAACCTCCAGGTCTCTCTGTTTCTTCACCCCCTTTAAGATTGTACCATCTAGTTATACTGCCATGTCGAGACTTTAAACTCAAGTCAGTGCCAACTTTCTAGTGCAGTGCTGCAGAGCACTGCATTGCCAGAGGTGTCGTCCCCCAAATAAGATGATAAAACCAAGATCCATCTGTACCTTTTCTGGTGGACGTTAACGATTCTCAGGCACTATTTGTAAAGAGAAGAAAGTTTCTCTCTCCCAATGTCCTGACTGACAATCCCCCCTAAATAAAATCGGTGATTTATTTCATGGCTGTTTGTGGGACATTGCTGTGTGCAGTTTGGCTGCTCTATTCGCCTACAAAATACAGTCACCACACTCGATAGTAAATTCTGTGAAACGGTTTAAGATGTCTTGACAACAACAACAAATTGCAGTTATATAGGGTCTTTCATGTCAAGAGAGCATCCCAAGGCGTTGGATTTTAGATGGGTGCGGACTGTGGGGGATAATATATTATATATCCAGTTATATTAATTATATAACATATATAATTATACCACAATGTAATAAGATGCTATATTATAGACCAGGATTATATACTGTTATTGAGGTTTGCCTGAGAAGTTTAGAATGTAGTAGTCTGGACTACTTGCTGGTGTACTGTATACTATAATTCCTCATCTTTATGTGACTCTGTTTCGTCTATATATAAATGTGTATAAAATAGTTACAAAGAATGTACAGTAAGGAAACAGACCACTCAACCCAACCGTCCGTGTCAGTGTTCATACTCCACACCAGTCTTCACCCATTTCTTACTCCTTCCCACACCCTTCTATTCCTGTACCCGTCATGTGAAGGTCCAGCTTCCTCTTCGATGTATCTACATTATCTGATTCATCCACTCCTTTGGGCAGCAAGTTGCACAATCTTGTTACTTTTCTGCTGTAATCCTAGCTTTATTAATAATAATAATAAATTGGTCACTCAATCCACGACTTTGTTGGACACTGCTGTGAGCAATTGGCTGCCATGATTCGCCCACAACATAAAATCAATTCACTTTACATTATATTTTGTGAAGCCCTTTGAGACATTTCGAACACGTGATAAGGCGCTATGTTATATGCAAGGATTATTTTTTCATTAATAAATTGCATAGCGCCTTTCAAACGGGGTAGCGTTTCAGAGAGTTTAACACAGATGAGAATTACAGTCGTGGGAATGTTTTTTTAAAAAATCCAAATGGATTATTGTTACAAAAGATCTCTGAATTAAGGGAGGATGGAAATAAAATCCTTACACTGAGGGTGACTGAATAGTGAAATTCTCTACCACAAACCATTGCTGGGGCCAGAATCCGCAAGGGGCTTTAAAGGGGAATTGAATAGATTTATGAAAAAACAGGAATATTAAAAGAAGGGAGAAAGAGCAGGAGAGTGGGGTTAAGATATTTGTTCGTGTAGAGGAAAATATTTGATGAACCAAATGACTTATTTCTGTATTGCTCCGTTCCTACTTTGCCTCCTTTAAGGGATGTCTTGAGACCCTCCTCTTCGACCACATCTTCAGTCACCCTCCTATCCCTGCCCTCCTGATCCCAACCCCCAGCTCGGGTCCAAATACCTGACTGACCAGCACCTTCTGATGTGCAAGGCACTGTGTAAATGTAATTTGTTGTTGTTTTGCTGAAAGCCTGCTCTTCTGTGTTCTAGACTGAATCTCAGCTGCTGACGTCATGGCTGCCACAATCGTGCACGACACGTCGGAGGCGGTGGAGCTGTTCCCTCCGCAGGGATTGTACCTCAAACCCATCGCCAAACTGACCATCAGCGTGTCGCTGCCGCAGCTCAAACAACCGGGAAAGTCCATCTCCAACTGGGAGGTGATGGAGAGGCTCAAGTGCATGGTGCATCCTGAGCAGTTCGCCACGCTGCGGGTCTCCAAGAGCACCATGGACTTTGTGCGATTTGAAGGCGAGGTGGAGAACAAGAACATGGTGAAGACCTTCCTGTCGAAGCTGGACGGGAAGACCATCAAGCTCAGCGGCTTCACGGACACGCTGAAAGTACGGGCGGCCGAGGTCAAGATCGATTTCCCCACCCGCCACGACTGGGATTCCTTTTTCCGTGACGCCAAGGATGTGAACGAGACCCTGCCCGGGGAGCGACCCGACACCATCCACCTGGAGGGGCTGCCCTGCAAGTGGTTCTCCCTGAAGAACTCCAGCTCCGAGAAGCCCAGTGACCTGATCCTGAGCAAGGTGTTCGGGACCTTCGGGGAGATCAGGAACGTGGACATCCCTATGTTGGACCCGTATCGGGAGGAGATGACTGGCAAGAACTTCCACACCTTCAGCTTCGGGGGACACCTGAATTTCGAAGCCTATGTGCAGTACCAGGAGTACATCGGATTTGTCAAGGCCATGGATGCCCTGCGGGGGATGAAACTCATGTACAAAGGAGATGATGTCAAGGCAGTGGCGTGCAGCATAAAGGTGAGCCGCGAGTTACCTCTTGTATCTCAGGAGCTAAAGGGGAAGAATCAGGGAAACAGCAACAACTTGTATTTACACAGCGCCCTTCAGGCAGGGTAGCATCCCGGAACGATTCACAGTCACGGAGTCTGACCCCGAGCCGGGGGGAGAGGGAGGGGGCAGGTGACCGTAAGCACAATCAAAAACAAAGGTCTTTAGGTGGGATTTGTAGGTGGGGAGGGAGGGGGCAAGGCGGAGGGATTGAAGGAGAGTTCTGGAGTTTCTGAGCATAGTGGCTGAATGCACGGCCACCAATGTGGAGCGGACAGTCTAGGGACAAACAGGAAGCCGGAACCAGCCGAGCGGAGGCAGCGGGTGGTGGAGTGGGGGCTAAGCAGGTTGGAGAGGTAGGGATTTGCCAGGGCATGAAGGGATTTGAAAACAAGCGAGAGGATCTTGAAATCGATCCGTTCGAAACAAATGATGGTTCACAGACAGTGGTTGGAATGTGCCACAAACTCCACACAAGCAGTGCTGTCCCCAAATTATTTTAAAAGAAATCCAAGTGTTTGGAAAACGAGCGAGTGGAGAGTGAGAGGAGATCGGAATTAGATTGAGTGTCTCACGTGGAGAAAACAAACTGTGCAGTCTGATGGCCTGAATTAAATTGATTTAGATATAATAATAATCCTTGCATTTGATATAGTGCTTTTCATGTCTTTTCAACATCTCAAAGAGCTTCACAGAATAGACTGTAAAGTGAACTGACCGTATAGAACCTGATCACGTCATTAAGACTTCTCAGTATGTCGCAGAATATACTGTAAAGTGAATTAACTCTATTTTGTGGGTGAAACACAGCAGCCAGTTGTGCACAGCAGTGTCCCAATAGTTATCTAAATTCGATATTGAATGTGTATTTCAGGTAGTCTTATCTGTTGACTTAATACGACTTACCAAAGTTATATATAAGTTTGTCTGTTGTGACACCAGGTTAGTGCTTTCAGAGTCAGTGCCACTTTTGTTAAAAAAAACTAGTTAAATGTCTGCAATATTGCACACAATTAACATAACATAACATGTAGGAGCAGGAGGAGGCCATTTGGCCCCTCGAGCTGCCCCGCCATTCAATCATGGCTGATCTTCTAATCTAACTCCAGCTAATAATCTGACGCTGCCTTATCCCCGTATCCCTTAATCCCTTTTGCAATAAGAAATCTATCGATCTCAGTCTTAAATATGTTCAAGGACTGAGCGTCAACAGCCCTTTGGGGTAGTGAGTTCCATACATTCACTGCCCTTTGAGTGAAGAAGTTCTTCCTCAACTCAGTGCGAAAGGGCTGCCTCTGATTTTAATGTTGTGACCCCTGGATTTAGTTTCTCCAACCGGGGAAACAATCTCCCACTATCTACTCTATCATGGCCTTTGATGATCTTATAGGTTTCTATAAGATCCCCTCTAATTCTTCTATATTCCAGAGAATATGGGCCCAAATTGGTCAGCCTCTCCTCGTAACTCATCCCCTCCATCCCGGGTACTAACCGAGTAAATCTACGCTGCACCCCCTCCAAGGCAAGTACATCCTTCCTTAAATAAGGAGACCAAAACTGCACACAGTATTCCAGGTGTGGTCTCACCGGGCACTGTACAGTTGCAGCAACACTTTACTCTTATACTCTAAGAATACATTCAGTGTCTCAAACTGCCTTTGGGCCAATACAATATACAGGGCCATGATGACAGCACCTGACCTTGTTTTCCGCGCTTTAGTGTCTCAAACACTGGGCGTTTGGTACCTCATCAATGAGCTGGTGAACCTGGTAGGGGCAATGCAAGTTAGGAGATGATTTGGATTAGGATTTAGGGCTACTGTGCCAATTGGCTGCCGCATTTCGCCCATAAATTTAAAGCCCACAAAATACACAGTCAATTAACTTTACAGTATACTCTGTGAAGCGCTTTGAGACATCTCAACGACGTGATGAGGCGCTATATCAAATGCAAGGATTATTTTTATTTACTTAGTGCTCTAACCACTAAGCTACAGTTTAGGCAAGTTTCCTTACACCACACGCCGCTGTTTACCGAGCAGTAAGTAGGAACCCGGGAGATTGGTGGATAGTTGATTGGTGGATCGCTTTCCGGGGATAATAATCCCTCCAAAAAAGAATAGTGGCTCTATTGGAGAAGACAAAGGCGTTTCTACTGGTGTCCTGGCTGACAATCCTCCATATAAAATCATCCATTCAATTCATGGCTGTTTATTGGACATTGCTCTGAGCTAATTGACTACACTGTACTGCTCCCCACCACGTACTCCCCTGTACGACGCTCCCCTACAAATACACAGTCACTACACTTTACAGTAAAATTCTCTGACCCGCTTTGAGACATTCTTTCAGCATGAAAGGTGTGATGCAAAATGCAAGTATTATTCATAATAATAACCATCCATCACTTTGTAAAAGAAAACTAAATTTGTTTTTCACTCATTCATAACAGCTTGGCTCAATTAGTAGCATTCTCTTCTGAGTCAGAAGATTATTGAGTTAAGCCTCATGCCATGACTTGAGCTCATAGTCCAAGATAATACAGTAAACCTCGGCTTACTGCACTCCCAGTTCATACCTAGTCACAGCGGACTTGAAATGGAATTAAAAAACATGTTGGAATTAAACTGAGTTGAAGACATTTTCCTAAATTCCCCACATTCTCAAATTTTTGAATGAATGGAGAGCTTTGGGTCAGAGTGAGATATCCCAGGCCTCTGGACCATCTCAGATTTTCTTGGCCTCATTATGTGAGTTCATTGAATCCTTCACAAAATGGCACAATCTTGATTTAGTCCACAAAATACAAAGTCACTGCAATTTGTAGTATATACTGTGAAGCACTTTGAGACATCACTATAATGTGATCATAACAACTTGCATCTATATAGCGCCCCTCACGCAGGGTAACGTACCAGAGAGCTTTAAGATAAGATTAAGATAAAGTGCTATATGAAATGCAAGGTTTATGTTCACCTGGAATTGCACAGTCACTTCACTTAACAGTAAAATCCTGCAAAGCTCTTTGAGAGGTCTCGACGACATGATGAAGCGCCGTATCAAGTGCAAGGATTATTATATAAGATTTGGTGGCTCGGAGGGAGAAAAAGCAACTCGTAGTTGATGGGGCCTGTTTCTGTGCTGTATTTTAACATTCTATGATTGTCATTGATTGTCAATAACTGGACATTGTTTGCAGAAAGTTTTATAATATTTAAATATATAACTTAGCAATGAAAACTTGCTTTGGTTTCTGCACTTGACCACCACAAGATGTCACTAAGAAATCGAAATTCAGTCGTGCTGCTACAGTCCACAGTGATTGGAATCTGTACTTGAGATTAAGAGCATAGCAACAAGAACAACAACAATAAATTGCATTTGTACAGCGCCTTTCGTACCGGGAGGACATCCCAAGGTGCTGAAACCTCTTCATTTGATCCTTCTTTTCGAGTAGTGCCACAGGATCTTTAATGTCCACTTGAACAGGCAGAAAGGACCTCACTTTAACGTCTCCTAAAGGACAGCACCTCTTGCAGTGCAGAGCTCCCTCTCCCCAACACTGTATTGGAATGTCATTCTGAACTGAGAGTTTAGAGTCCCGACGGCTTCTAACTCAGAGACCAGTGACCAACTGAGCCAGGCTAACTGACTAAAACTAAAGCAGGTTTGCTTACAGCATGATATCTATTTATCTAAGATATTCAAAACCCACACTGTTCCTTTCGACGCTTCAAAAATGCTGACTGTTTTTCGGAACTTATGCACAACCCATGTGGAAGCACTGACTGATTGTTTGGCATTAGATCACTGGTTTGGATTTTATAGATCTTGACTCCCACATTATAATGGGAGCCTAGTGTAATACTGTGCTAAGGAGGGAAGGCTGGTGTCCTGGCTAATAATCCCCCAAATAAAATTGCTTATTCACTTCATGTATGTTTATGAGACGTTGCTGTGCACAAATTAGCTGCCACTTTCGCCTACAAAATACACAATCACTGCACTTCACAGTAAAACCTGTGAAGTGTTTTGAGATGTCCTCCTGACGTGATAAGGCCCTACATCAAAAGCAAGGATTATTATTCTTTGACTGTAATTCTCTGTGTTAAACTCTCCGGGACCCTACCCCGCTTGAAGGGCGCTATTGTAAATTATTAGTGATAATAATAATCCTTGCGTTAGACATAGCTTTTTAATGACATCGTTGAGACGTCTCAAAGTCCCTCACAGAATATAGCGTACAGTGGATTGACTGTATTATGTGGGCGAAACGTGGCAGCCATTTGTGCACAACCGTGTCCCACAAACAACAACAACATCTTGGATTTATATAGCGCCCTCCACCCGGACGCTTCACAGTAACGGATCCCGGGGCCGAGGGAGGGGGGAGGATGGTGACCAAAGGCGCGGTCGAAAAGAAAGGTCTTCGGTTTTCAGTCAAGACCTGAAAATAGGAAGAGAGGGGATGAGGCGAAGGAAGTGAGGAAGGGATTTTCAGAGCCTCGGGGTGTAGTGGCTGAAGGCACGGCCGCCGAGGGTGGAGCGGAGGACTCGGAGGACGAATAGTTGTGGATTGAGTGACCGAATTATTTTTTGAAGGAAAAAAGGAAAAGTGATCCCTAACCAGGTTCCTCCTTGCTGCTAGTTATCATTAATTGCCATTATATGTTATTACTGTGTTAATAACAATAATAATCCTTGCATTTGGTATTGTGCCTTATCAAATCTTCGAGACAGAATATACTGTAAAGCGAATTGACTATATTTTGTGGGCGAAACGCGGCAAATTATTATAACCAAATTATTATTATTTGATTGTTGATTTATTTTTGAAGCGTTTATTACTTAATTTTTAATGTGCACAAATGAGGTCGCGTACTAAATCCGCAGTCACTGCACTGTTTGCCCAGGTGACATTTGACACAACAAAACACCTGACCGACGCCTCGATCAAGCGACGGCAGCAGGAGCGACAGAAGCTGCAGGAGCTCGAGCTGCGGAGGGAGGAGCAGAAGCGACGGGAGAAAGAGGATGAAGAGCGAAGAAAAGAGGACGAAAGGTACCGCTGTTTGTACAGGAAGAACTCGGTTTCCTTTTATAAAATAAATAATCTTTGCATTTGATATAGCATCTTATCACATCCTTGAGACGCCTCAAAGCACTTCATAGAATATACCATAAAGTGAATTGACTGCATATTTTGTGGGCTTTAAATTGGAGCTTTAAATTTACTTATTTTGCTAATTGGATTCCTGCTGCTCTGTGCTCAGTAATATAAGCAAATTGAGTCCTGTTGTGTATTGGTTAGAGCACTCGTCTCCCAAGCGAGAGGACCCAGGTTTGATTCCCGGGCAGGGAGAAACATTGGGCAAGTTTCATTACTCCACAAGTCTCTGTTTATCTAGTAATAAGTAGAAACCCGGATGTTAGTCATTTGACGGATCACTTTCTAGGGGTAATAAACCCTTCAAATAAATAAAATAATAATAATTTTGTTACTCAATCCACGACTGTTTGTGGGACGCTGCTGTGTGCAATTGGCTGCCGTGTTTCGCCCATAAAATGTACAGTCAACCCACTTTACAGTATATTCTGTGAAGTTCTTTGAGACGTCTCAACAATGTGATTAGGTACTATATCAAATGCAAGGATTATTATTATTGGGTCCCGACGTAAAAGGCGCTATACGTGTTTCTGCCTCAGGAAGGGAATATCTCAAAGTGTTTCATAAAGAATTTGAAAAGAAATGTTTGTTAGGTCAGGGTATCAAGGAAATCGGACAAGGTAGGGGAATTGGAGTTGAGGTACAGATCAGCCATGAACGTATTGAATGACCGAACAGGCTTGAGGGGCTGAATGGCCTCATGTTTCTAAATTAGAAGGTGTTTAGAGGGAAGCAAGCAGGAGATTTAGGTGGCCCAGCGTGGATTTGGATGGCCCGTTTGTTGCTTCGGGTGCTGGCTGCTAATAATACCAATGTGGTTGCTATTTGTAAAGTCAGGGTATATATTTGTTTGGTCAGGTTATCAAGGGATATGGGGCAAGGGCAGGAAATTGGCAGGAAATTGGAGTTGAGGTACCGATCAGCCGTGACCTTACAGAATGGCGGGACAGGCTCGAGGGTCTGATGGCCTCCTCCTGTTCCTATGTTTTTATGTTGCTCCTTTGCCTTTAGGAAGCAGAAGGAGCTTGAGGAGCAGGAGCGAGAGAAGAAGCGCGAGGAGAAGGTGAGAAAGCGAGAGCAGAAGCAGAAGGAGCGGGAGGACCGGCGCAACACGCGCAAACTGCAGCGGGAGGAGCAGAAACGGCTGCAGGAGAAAATCGCCCTGGAAGAACGCAAGCTGATCCTGGTCCAGAGAAACCTGGAATCCATCCGGCTCATCTCCGAGCTGCTCAGCCGGGCTAAGGTGAGCTCATCTGCCCCAAAAAAGTGTTTAATACTTTATTCAGCCGCCAGAACTTTTCAAGCGTGTGATATGGCAAAACCTTAAGCAAGTTTCCTTACTCCACACGCCTCTGTTAACCAGCAGTAAATAGGAACCCGGTTGTTAGTCGATTAGCAGATCGCTTTCCAGGGCTAATAATTCCCCCCAAAATAATAATAATAAATTGGTCATTCACTCATTCGAATTTGTGGAGTCCCGTAGTGTAGTGGTTAGAGCACTCGCCTCACAAGCGAGAAGACACGTGTTCGACTCCCGGGCAGGGCAAAACCTTAGGCAAGTTTCCTTACTCCACACCTCTGTTTACCCAGCAGTGAGTAGGAACCCAATTGTTAGTCGATTGGCGGATCGCTTTCCAAAGATAATAATCCCCTTCAAAAAGTAATAATCATTTGGTCACTCAATCCACGACTTTGTGGGACGCTGCTGTACGCGATTGGCTGCCGCGACTCACTGTGAAGTGTTTGAGACGTCCCAAAGATGTGATAAGGCGCTGTATCAAATGCATTATCAAAAGGATTATTACTATCATTATTGTATGAAAAGCAAGGCTTCCTTGTTGACCTGTGTTCACTGCCGAGCAGGTTGAGCGACAGCAGGAGCAGGAGGCGAGGGAGGCGGAGGCTGCGCGGCGCCACCAGGTGGAGGAGAAGCGTCGTCAGCAGGAGGCAGAATTGCTGCGGGTGGAAGAGGAGAAGCACCGGGTGGTGGAGCTGCAGCTGAAGGAGAAAGAGCTGAGAGAGAAGCTCCTGGAGAACCTGCGGAGGAAGGAGGCCAGCGAGGGTCAGAGAGAGGAGCCTGGGGCCCAGCCCACCGAGCAGGGGACGGTGGGGACCCCGGGGGTGGAGGCCGTGTGGCCCAGCACCCGCAGGAGGATGGGGTCACCAGTTAGGGACTCGGATGCCCGCAGGGAGCGTCTCAGGGAGACTGGGGGAGAGCGGGAGCCGAAGCTGGGCACAGCAGGCGAAGGCACTGCCAAGCCCGCCCAGAACGGGCAGCGCGCCAGCCCACAGCGCTCCTCCCAGGAGGCCGGCGGCCACGGCAGTGACACTTCGCATCCGTGTCATGCCCTTCACGTCGGGAGGACCTCTCAAGGCGCTGAGAGCAGCAGCAATGCTCACCAGAACGGCGCCAGCCACACGCAGGGCAAACTGCAGCACACTCTGGTCAACGATCAAGAGAAGAGGGAGGACAGTAAGAGCAGCGACACCAGCAGCAGCAGCAGCAGCAGCAGCAGCAGCAGTGAGAGAAGCCGGCACTGGAGGGGCTCGAGCAGCGAGGGCAGCTGTCACCAGAGAGAGTGGAGCCGGCGGAAGGGCGACTCCAGGAAGGACCTCGGCCGCCAGGCCAGGAGCCGGGAGAGGAGCCGGAGCCGGGGCCGGGGAGACTGGAGCCGCGACAGGAACCGCAGAAACCGGAGGAGCCGAGGCTGGAGAAGCTCAAGCTGGGAGCGGAAAGGGGTCCGGAGGGGCTCGAGCCGGGGACGGAGAGACCGGAGCCGGGAAAGGGGAGGAGGAGGCGGCCGGCGGCGCAGCTGTCACCGCACCGACACGGGCAGGGAGCGCACCCGGCACAGGGGCTCCAGCGGCCCTCACAGAGACTCCAGCAGAGGAGACAGTGGCCGCAGGAGGAACTGTAGCCGGGATCACAGCCGCCATCGCAGGTAGCCTGGCCAGCAACCCGCCGTCGTCACCAGAGACACCAGGGAGCAGCGAGATCAGCACCCGAGCGAGAGGTTCATTTCTCTTCCCTCCCCCTCCCTACTCCTCCCCCCTCCCTCTCGCCTCCTCTACTCATGTAATATGTGAAGGCAGTGGTGGGAGAAAGGTAGTGTAGTGCGGAATGTCCCGATGCATTAAATCCATCGAGTTCTTACAGGAAAGGCAAGCGTCATTTCTTAACAGAGTGAATGAATAGAGGAAAAAATACCGCACTTACACACACTCGCGCTCGTGCAAAAGCGCAGTTAAAAATACACATGAAATGTGCTGTAAGTTGCGCAGCCCCTAGAAGAAAGAGGAGGAAGGCTTAACTGTTTGGTGTAAGCTGTACTCAGACATTTCCAACCCGTTTCTGTGTTTTTTTTGTGTGTGTGCGTTATTCTCAGCCCGGTAAAAGTTGCTTTGAGTTGGGTGAGAAGGGTTAACCACGGAGAAACTGCCCCAGAATCGGCAGTGTTCGTTTCAGTTAAGGGCCTGAAATCTTTTGGCTCGCTCGCTCGAAGCACTACACTTACTAAACAGCGAAACCTTAGGCAAGTTTCCTTACTCCACAATCCTCTGTTTACCGAGCAGTGAGAAGGAACCCGGTTGTTAGTCGATTGACGGATCATTTTCCAGGGGTCATAATGCCTCCACAAAAAAAATTGGGTCACTCACTCATTCCATGACTGTTTGTGGGACACTGCTGTGCACAATTCACTGCCGTGTTTCACCCACAAAATACATAGTCTATTCACTTTACGTATATTCTGTGAAGCGCTTTGAGACGTCTCAAATCACGTGATAAGGTGCTATTTCAAATGTAAGGATTATTATTAACACGTATACCAAACGTGAGCAAAAGCAACACTGTTGTCAGTGTCGAGTGCTGTGTCTCCTGAGGAACTCTGCACTTGAAATATGAGTAGATATCTCTGCAGATTGCCAGAGAGTGAGCGATGGTGAGTATGGTGGCTGAGAGGGCTTATCCAGGGCTTGATACCCTGTTTGTTTCCACACTACCGGCTGTTGGTAACACGACTCAACCCTGGGAAATCCTGGGGGGGAGTTTACCACTTGAAGAGTTTTTTCCGATTCGAGGCTACGTGGCCGCTTTCTCTCTTTCCTTGTACGTTTGTGCATCGAGTTCAATACGGATTCCCCCCGAAATTGGTGATATTTAGTCAGGAGTGTCCATTGCAAGCCCTGAGTCATGGAGATAGACCCTTAATGCAGGTTGTAGCTTGATGCATCCGCCAACATGCTCCACTCTAGGAAAACCCTTTGCTTCCATTCGATACGCAAGCAAAAGGGTTGATGCTTTCAGCCCGCAGAACTCTCCCAGACAGCAGTGTTATAGTGAGATGCTTCAGTTTTGTTCACCCTGAAACTCAGGAGAGCTCACAACCTAGGATCGAGTCCAGGACCAGCGGTAAATGTCCACTGATAGTGCAAGGAGATGAATCTTATGTAAACCAATATGATAATTCCAATGCTGAGAACAGATAGCTATATAAGGGTAGTGTGGTGTTGGAGGGAGGGAGGGAGGGAGTGTATATAGTAATGATAAACTGCCCCAGTATCAATCCATGACTGTTTGTGGGATACTCATGTGCACAATTGGCTGTTGCGTTTCGCCTACAAAACGCAGAGTCAATCCACTACATCTGTGAAGCGATTTGAGACGGGCTCAGTGACGTGATACGGTACTGTATCAAAGGCAAGGATTATTATTAACATAATCCTGGTAACTGAAGCCTGTGTCCCAAAAGACTACCCCGCAGAGATGCTTCATCCGCCTGTGATCGTGACTCGAACCAGAAAAGAACAACATGATGGGAAGCTAGATGTTGGTTTCAGGGATATTTGCGAATGATAATCCTAATGCCAAGAGAAGCCCTCAGTTACATTGATGACCTCTTACAACAATCAGTGTAAGGTTGACAATTCTACGTGTTCGAGAAGAAGGACTGAAAATTGGGGGGGCAACGGGGGAAACAAATAGCTGTGGACCAACATGAAGCCCAAGGCTCTTGGCCCTACCAGAAGAAAAAATCCTTAGGCAAGTTTACTCCGCCAATTTTGAGCACTGAGATCTGACTCTTTAATGGCACATTCCATTAGTTGCTGTATCTAAAGGACCACACTGGCTCTGGATATTAATGGGGAATTGTCCCCATGCATGTGATGCTGCTAAAATTATACTGGGGAAATTTGGCCATTGGGTTCATCACTTGATTCTGGTCAAAAAGAACTGGAGATGATTCATCCTGAGAAGCATTTCCAAACGCTGAACATCAGGACTCTCTTCTAAGGTATCTATCCCTCCTTGGTCTTCTCACATTAACTAACACCAATGTCCAAAAGGGCAGCAATCTGGGCAGTCACTCAAACTGGATACCATCAGATGCAGAATTCTGAGACCCTGAACTCACGGCTGAGATTGGTGACATGGTGGACGGAGGCGGCTATGAACCCATATTCATTACTACTGTACCAACGCCAACTGAAAGACAGTAGGGCCTTTCTGTTGTCGAGTTTGCCTTGACCTCTGTTTATTTGGAGATGAAGTTTTAATTTGAATAAAGTATCACAAATCAAACTTCCTGTGTGCATTTGAAATGCATTATTGTTGATTTTCGTAACCCCTAGTTATTCAAAAGCCCCCAAATTGTGGTGTCCTGTATCTCAGTGATTAGAAACTCAAGCGAGAGGACCGGGTTCAATTTCTGGGCAGGACAAAGGCTTAGGTAAGTTTCCTTACCCCACGCACCTCTGTTTATCTAGCAGTCAGTTGTTAGTCGATTGATGGATCACTTTCTGGGGGTAATAAACCCTTCAAATATTTCGGAAACAAAAAAATAATTAGGTCACTCAATCCACGACGTGTTTGTGGGGCACTGCTGTGCGCAATTGGCTGCCGCGTTTCACCCACAGAGTCATGATACACATGTAGCATGACACACCACCTTTAGTGGAAGAGGCCAGAGAGCATGTGTGGATGAGGCGAAAGAGAGAAGAGATAAAGAGTATATTTCACCCACAAAACACAGTCACTGCACTTTATATTCCGTGAAGAGCTTTGATACATCTCAATGACTTGATATGGTACTATATCAAATACAGGGATTATTATTGTTTGTGTTGGTAAGACATAAAATCTTGAGAAAACAACAGGATAATGTAACAATAATAATCCTTACATTTGATACCTCACCTTATCACATCGCTGGGATGTCTCAAACCACTTCAACAACAACAAATGACATTTATGCAGCATCTTTCACGTCGGGAGGATGTCCCAAGGTGCTGGACAGTCAGGGATTTGGACCTGAGCTGGGGGTTGGGATGGGGAGGGGGTGGGGGGGCAGGGAGAGTAGGGATAGGAGGGTGGCCAAAGCCGGGTCAAAGGGGAAAGTCTTGAAATGGGCCTTGAAGGAGACAAGGAAGGGGACGAGGCGAAGGGACTGTGGGATGGAGTTCCAAAGGGTGGGGGCAGAGAGGATGAAAACCCGACCGCCAATGGTGGAATGGGCTGGGCGGGGGACGAGGAGCAGGCCACAGCCTACTGAGTGGGGGGAGCGGACAGGTCGATGTGGAAAACGATGGGATAAGGAACTATATCACATGCAAGGATCATTATTATTAAGAAGGCTTCTACGCTGAAAATGTCTCTAGGAATCGAAAAGAGGTAAGGGGCATAAATCGTAAGGCGGGAGGTGACTGCATTTTATATTGATTCCATTCGAATCAATCCATTACCCCAGTGACTGCGTGAAAAGTGACACTGGGACGGTTCCCGTCGCACCCGCTTTCCTTCATCATTTGCTCCTGTTCAGCTCACTGGAGATCCACATCAATAAGATCATTTTAAGACATGTCATTAGCCCCAAGTGTCTCTTGTGCACTTAGCTCTCAGTGAGGTAAGCTCTCTATTGAATGTAATCTGCTCAATCGCAGAGCTTCCACAAGGCACTGAAATCCCACTGTGCAACTGTCTTAGCTTATCCAAATAGGCTTAAATTGCTACTCCATTTTATATAAAGTGCCCCCGAAGAGGAGAGCAAATACAGCGACGTCAGCTATTGGGTCATGGTAATGAAGCTCATCTTATCACTAGATGGCGAGTGTTCTGAAGACAGCCGAGTGGCAAGACACAACAACAATAATAATAAATTACATTTTCACAGCGCCTTTCATGTCGGGAGGACATCCCAAGGCACTGGACCCGAGCTGGGGGTTGGGATCAGGAAGGGTGGAATCCATCAATACCACTAACAGGTTTAGGAGGGTGACCGAAGGTGCAGTCGAAGAGGAGGATTTGAAGATGGGCGTTGAAGGCGGCAACGGGGGGAGCGAGGCGAAGGGATTGTGGGATGGTGTTCCAAAGGGTAAGGGCAGAGAGGCTGAAGGCCCGACCACCGATGGGGCAGGACGGGCAGGGAACATGGAGCAGGCTGGAGCCTGCTGAGCGGAGTGAGCGGACAGGATGATAAGGGGTTAGCAGGTTGGAGCGGTCGGGAGGGGCAAGGCCATGGAGACCTTTGAAGGCGAGGACAAGGATTTTGAAGTCTATTCTCTGGGGGATGGGGAGCCAGAGGAGCCGGGCAAGGATCGGATGATAGGGTCACGGAACTTGACACAAACTATAGGTCCGATTGAGAATCCATCAATACCGCTAACAAGAGTTTACAGAATGAAGTCCATGGTTCATTTTTGGAGAGGAAAACGTACCGTGCAATTTAAACCTCAGACATGTTTCCTCACTCCACACCCCTCTGTTTATTTAACAGTTAGTAGAAACCTGGTTGTTAGTTGATTTGGGGATGGTTATCAGCATGTAATAACCCTTCCAAAAAATATAATAATAATAATTTGATTGCTCAATCCACGACTGTTTGTGGGACGGTGCTGTGCGCAATTGGCTGCTGCGTTTCACCCACAAAATACACAGTCCAATTCATTTTGCAGTATATCCTGTGAAGCGCTTTGAGACGTCTCGAAGATCTGATAAGGTGCTGTATCAAATGCAAGGATTATTATTATTAGGGAGAAAGGCAGCAAAATGGGATTTAATAAATTTAATAATTCTTTAGGCAACAGGTTCTTTACTACATTTAATGTGAAGTGTATCACATAGGATGTCACAGGACCAAAATAGACTACTCATTCCAAGAGTCTG